ATGCATTTCATAATATCACAAATAAATACGAGAATACATAAAAAAACATCGTTCCATTGTTAAAACACAATAAAACGAAAAATAATAAATAATAGTGTAGCTCTACGAATAGGGACTGAATAGGGAGTGAATAGGGATTCCTCGTTGATATCGATAATTTTGCATCGATGGGGAGTTCTTTTGTAAAAGCTGCTTATGTTACTATATTATGTTAGGATTCAATACTTTCCTTTGTTTTTTATACTTCACTAGTCATATGAAACCATAAAATATTAATATCATTTTACCGTAAGACGGCGGAGAAGATTTGAGGCACAACTTTTGTATAAACACTTGAGTTATAAAACTTATATAAAATTGTTCAAGTTATAATTATATTATCCAGTAAGAGAATTCATCTCTCCATTTTGTACCGTGGGCATCGTATGAGTTGACTATAGGTAATGACAGAAAAATCTTACGGATATTTCTGGTATTTGCCACAATTGTTTACTCCGATAGATGGCAGTAAACAACTTCTTTTACGTCACACATGGATTTTGTTGCCGTTCGTCCTTGTGTTGTTGATAGTTGTCTATCCGAACATCAAGCGTTGCGATTAAGGTAAATTCTTCCTACAACGGGAGAGTCCCGCTCCCGTGACTTTTACGTTCTGACGAAGAATTAATATCATGGGCCTAGATTATATTGCCAGAACTTTGGGAGGAAAGTAAAAAAGAAACAAAACGCTGCCTAGATTATATCCGTTTAAATAAATTGTAAAATAAAAAAATTGTATAACCGATTTCAATATTAATAAAATGAGAACGTCATCAATGCAGTCGAAGTCAATGATATTATTAAGATTGATTGACTTGACTTGACTTGATTTTTTCCCTCCTCCACACTAGGATTTTCTCCTGTATCGTGGAGGCAGTTTACAAACATAAATTGCACGAGGACAAACATCTTGACCCGAAACAAATTTGTAGGCCATACAAATACTTGTTCCATGCGTGATTCGAACCCACGGCCCCCAACAGCCAATCATGGCTGGGCCACTGCGCCACGGAGCCGTCAAATATCATTAAATTTATATGGAACCACATGAGATATGCTTCACACCAAACTTAATTAAGAATCATCAAAATCGGTTAACCTAGAAAAAGTTCAAAAGTAACACACTTAAAAAATTTTATTGAGTACCTCCTGCTTTTTTTGAAGTTGGTTTATAATTTCATATCAGCTATTTCATATAAAATAATACATTTTAAGTAAGCAAATATTCTTTTAAATTTCTACTATAGAAGGCTAATAATTTACCGCTCACCACATATCGCTAAATGGGACTGAAGTGAAGATTTTTGTTACACAGTGTAATCATAAGTGAAAAGTTGCGATTTGAATATTTTTTTTTGTTTCTAGCGTACACCTCTATAAACAAAACAAACCCTCAATGATTGCTCTTTAATTTTTTGGACATTTTAACTCTTTTTTATCCGCAGTTTGGATTATCCATTTTAAAATAATTAATAATATAATTTGTAATAACTTCAACATAATACTCATTACAGAAACTTGGTTGACTGATGGTATTTACAACGGTGAATTATGTGACAATAGGTACGACATATTAAGGTATGATAGAAATAAAACATCTTCGCATAAAAAGAAGGGTGGGGGGGTCATGATTTGTACGTATACACAATTACAAGCTCAAGAACGGACGGAATGGATGTGTAGAGATCTCGAATGTTTGTGGGTAACAATACCAGGAAAATATTTAATTTGTCAAGACAGACGTAATTTAAACATTGGAGTTGTTTATATACCGCCTGATAATTATCAATCAAAGCGTTTAGATAATTTTACAGAAATGCTCACAAAAATCATAACTCAATGTTCAAATGATCATTTTATAATTGCCGGTGACTTCAACCTAGCGAATATATCTTGGTCCTCTTCAGGTCCCGTAATGCTTAAGCAAAGTCCAGTAGAATTACAAAATGCTACAATAAAGTTAACTGATCTATACAACTTATCAGGGCTAAATCAACATAATATTATTAGCAACAATAGTGGCAACGTACTAGACTTAGTGTTTAGTAACATAAACATAGACGTTACTCGTTCTCAAATATATCTTGTATCTGAGGATAAATACCATCCTTCTTTACTGCTCGACGCATCTGATCTGCTAATACCCTGCTTAAAAAATAAACCACGATCAAAATTAAACTTTAACCGAGTTGATTACGATAAAATAAATAAAGGCCTCTCAGAAGTCAACTGGTCTTCCTTGTTAACTGGCAACTCAATTGATGTCGTAGTTCAAAAGTTCAAAATTAAACGATTTAAAAAACCTAGAAACTTATTACAGCAAAAATAGAATTACTATCAATAGTGAAAAATGTGTCAAAATAACCTTCAGTCGCAAGATACAGCTCATAGATTATAATTATTCAATTAACAATAAATCCATAAAGAGTGTATCGTCAGTTAGGGATCTTGGTATCAGGCTGGACTCAAAATTAACGTTCAATGAGCATATAGATAGTATTGTTGACAAAGCCTACAAGCAAATTGGATTCATAAAGCGCGTCTGCAATGATTTTAGCAGTATTAATTGCATTAAAGCTCTATACTTTGCATACGTAAGGAGTGTTCTCGAATACGCTAATACAATCTGGTCTCCAAAGTATGCGAAGCATAAGCATCGAATAGAATCAATTCAAAAACTGTTCATTAAGTTTATCTCATCAAAAGATCATACTAGTTTTGCTTCATACGAAGATGCTTGCAAATTTTACCGCTTAGATACCTTGGAGCTCAGAAGACTTCAATACGATATGTTTTTGCTACACGGTTTATGGTCTGGTAACATAGATTGTCCAGACCTGTTATCTAAAATATCGATACTAGTACCTAAATACCGAACTAGACATACGCCATTATTTCACGTACCACGAGCAAACACAAATTACGCAAAAAATTCTACTTTATGTCGTATTGTTCAAAACTATAATAAGTTTTACGCTGACTTGGATATTTTCAACCTATCCAAGAGTCGCATCAAACGTGGTGTTATAAACAAAAATAGGGCATAATCACACACACACACACACACACACACACACACACACACACACACACACACACACACACACACACACACACACACACACACACACACACACACTCACACACACACACACACACACACACACACACACACACACACACACACACACACACACACACACACACACACATACACACACACACACGCACGCACGCACGCACGCTTAATTATTAGTTGATATAAATTGTGTAATCTCTATTGGCCTTACTATATGATAATATGTAATTGTAAATACGATAAAAACGCTGTATGATTACCTAAATAAATAAATAAATAATAAATATAGATAATGATTTCTTAAATTTATGCGAATACTACACATTGAATATAACTAAATTTACGGATTCTATCGCGTTTAATTAATTACTTTTAAATATTGATTAAAACTACTTTTACGGATTTTATCGCGTTTATTTTACTTTTAATTACTTTTATTTTTAATTCTTGACGTTTCGGGTGCTTTACAGCACCCATGGTCACGGGGGGGACTCAGATGTTAACACGTTTACTGCGGCAAGTAAAATCATAATACTTCATCTAGTGCGGCGGCGGGCCAAAATGCGCCCCCAATGATGTTTCCGCAAGTGCGTGAGTGGTCGATCTAGACCCACCAGCACTAGGATAGATTAAATTGCTATAACTTTGTGGAAACATAATGTATACATTTTTTTTTATATTGTTAGAATGAGCTTGAACCCAACGTTCATAGGTTTGATTCGCCCCGGGATCTGCCAAACAAGAAATGAGAAATAAAGCAGGAAAAGCGGCAGGCCGATATCGACCTGAACCGCACTAGAAAGTATTTTTAGTAGTGACGGGACAGAGAAAAATAAGGGGATATCGAAAATAAAACAGAATTATCGTAAAAGAACTGTAAAATGTTTTTATTTACTTATGCCTATCTTGGAAACATGTTACGCAAAGGTTTTGGTTGCATTTCCTGCAATATTTCTTTATTTTCTTTACTTTTTTTTTTGCTTCGGTACTATTAAAGATTTTCCGCAGTCTGTCGTAGCACCCTGCACAATTTCTTCGTTTAGCGCTCATTTCAAGAACATGGTCATTGTCCTTAGGTTTTACTTGATTTTCTGAAATGAATTTTTTTGCTTAATTCCGTGTGATTTATTAAACATTGAGTTTTACCACAGAACTCGCGAAATTGAACAACTTAACTAGGGTTATGGATGCGGTTAACTAGGGTTGTCCTTCAAGGAGATAACTCAGTATCGCTTATACAACAACTTTCCTTATGGGACCCATGTTGAAATCTTAAAAAAATATTCTCACTTTTCATACAAAAAAATCAGATAGTTTATTCCTCAAATACAATTTTTAATCAGTTGATCAGATCGGTTAGTATGGGAAGCCAAAAATTTTTTTTCGAGTTTACGACATGATAGGGAAATTTGTTGTATAAACGATACTGAGTTACCTCCTTGAAGGACAGCGGTGATAACCCTAACAGCCTTTATATATAGGTATAAAATTATGTATATGGTGTATAATATAGTGGTAACAGGACCTAATGTCTATTTTGTGCAATCAAGTAAACCACTTAAAGCGTTATTTTTATGATAAATGCAGCTGAGTGCCCCGAAATAAAAACTCGCATTATGTGTTATTGAGTAAGTAAACAGTGCCATAACATACCATAATAGAACAGTAGTGCAAACAACGCCAAACATTGCTCGCAGAAAATAGCAGAGTCAGCACAAAGCTCATGCACGAAGATCATGCGCAGCCACCGTAACACTGGTAATATGTTCAAAATAATGACAATAGTTACCTGTTGCAGATGTATGTAGAACGTCTGACGATGTTGAAACACGGAAATGTAGGAATCGCCTTCAACAATAATCTACATATGCCTACAGTGATGTTACACGTCATTATACTTACTATCAGCGCATATACTTTTTCCAGTTAATGATTGAATTAATGCCTCTGTAAATTCTTTTTTTGAAACCTTCTTGTCACATTTCACGTTGTATGTGATCCACGCGTTTACTAACGCCATGCCTAACAAATATTCCATACCCACTTTTCTGAACCATTTGAGCCCTCTTTTTAATGTAGAATAGTATGAAGACATTTGGTCGCTGAAGTCAACTCCTTTTTTGTTGTTATTATACGTTAAGACACATGTAGGCTTTTTTATATCTTCATTCGTCTTCCTATTTTTTTTGCCAGTGTTGACAAGCACATCTTTGTCCTCTTTGAGAGTAGATATCATTAGAAGTTGCCTTTTGTCAACCCATTTAATAACTTTAACGCCATTTTTATTCATAGCTCCTTTGATTTCACCCTTCTTCAACTTTAGTAACACTATCTCCTTAGGTAGCCCCCTTCGCTTCGAATTTAGGGTACCGCAATAACGGGTTTTTTGAGATAAGAGTTCTTCCGCCAATTCAATTGAAGAGTAGAAATTGTCTGCAATTACTACACGACATTTGTTCTCCAGCCCTTGAATGAGTTTCAGTACGGTGACTTTACCATGATTTTGTTCACAGCCATTTTCTCCCTTTCCAGAATAAATTATTGAATTATATATATACCCTTCTGGAGTGCATAACTTGTAAATTTTAACACCATACTTGTGTGATTTGTTTTTAATGTATTGTTTGAATTTCAGCCTGCCACGCCATGGTATCATTGATTCATCTATAACAATGAATTTACCTGGCGTTAATACTTCTTGGAATCTGCTGTTGAGCATATAAGCCAAATCATGAATTTTCTTCAACTTATTTGTATTGTGGATGGCTGACGAATCATCACAAAAATGCCAGAATTTCAGTAATAGCAGAAATCTATCCCGAGTCATTACAGATACAATATATTCGTTTCGATATATTGATTTTTTTGACCAATAGTCATTTATATGAGACACTTTGTTCAGACCCATTGCGAGTAGTACCCCTAGAAACTTCCGCATTTCTATATTATTCGTAGCTTTCCATGATAATAACCGAGATTTTGTTTTTATTTCGTTATTATTTTGCTTTTCTGCGATGTGTTTTAACGCATATTTATTAGTTTCTGTAACCATTTTATCTATTATTTCATCAGTTACAAATAAGGAAAAAATACCTGCAGGAGATATATCTTCTATAGGAATATTAAAAGTGCTTTCATTTAAAGTACACGCATCCAACTCAGGTGTCAAATCTGTGACAGCATCCCATTCATTGACACTATTATCCTGTGCATCTTCCTCTTCCTCTGAAACATCATTATCTATATCCAATACAACTTCACTTGCAGAATATTCATCACTCACATGTGTCACCACTTTCCTGCTCTTCATCTTCCTCCTCAGTATTTTCCGTTTCTTCCTCTCTCTCTGCATCTTCATCTTCCTCTTCAGCATTTCCTGTTTCTTCCTCTCTCTCTTCTACATCTTCTACATCAACATTTTCTGTTTCTTTCTCTCTCTCTGCTTCGTCATTAAGTGTTTCTTTCTGTCTTTCATTTTCTTCAAACTGTTTATTACGTTCTTCGTCATAAAAAACACAATTTTCATTACTTTCAGTTAACCCTTGCGACATACTGTCTTCAAAAGAATAAGTGAATGTAAGTTTTGTCTTTGGATCTTTCCTTTCTATTTCATTTTTCTTTTTTATCTTTTTATTATCGTTTCTTAGATTTATCAAGTCACGATATTCGCTTTCATCTATTTTGATGCCGTGCATAAGCTTAGAAGCTGATATATTGTTTAGCGAAGGACTGCATCCTCTTGAGCTATACATACTAAATCGTTCCAATGACGATGAGCTAGGCGAAGACAATCCTTTTGATGTCTGTGGTGTAGGTTTATTTTTACATTCTGTAATGCAAAAAAAGGTAAGTGGAATAAAATTAATCTACACTAATATTATAAATGTGAAAGTTTAGATGTATGGATGTTTGCTACTCTTTCACGCAAAAACTACTGAACGGATCTAGATGAAACTTTACAGTAATATAAGTAAAAAATTAAATAAAATATGAAATTTTGAGAGATAGAGATAGAGATATCTGTCAATAGATGCTCAGCAGAAACTATAACACTAAAAGCAAATAAATTATTTAAATTAAGACATACCTGTTTTAGTTACATGTGAAAACGAGACTGGTTTAAGAATATGAAATTTTCTTCCACTGGGGCTACTGAAAACGTCCGCTGTTGACAAAAAAAGTTTACTGTGACTCTTATTGTGTCTTATTTAGCGAGAAAAAGGAGTGTTGGGGTAAAAGCGGACGGATTATGGTTCAATTGAAAAGATGTTCAAAAAAAACTAAATTTTCTCGACATCAACTGTTGAAAATAAATCATTAAAATGCAATGAAAGTGTTAAGAATAATCTTTTTCATAAAGGATGGTATTACATAAAAAATCCCCACGTCATTATGCGTCTAAGGCTGATATGTTGATATGTGTAGGTAGTAAATAAAACTTACCGCTTGTGCTTTGTTTTCCGTGCACATTTGTTTCCAAATCCTTTTTAGTTTTCTTAGTGGAAAATAATTCTTCACTGCTGTCACTATCACTGTCAATAACTGCAGGGCGAATTACTCTATTTTCCAAAATTTGTATTTTTCTTTTATTGCTTGCCATTGTTGATAATATCGGACGCTACGACAGAGCTGTTAGATAGCACAACACTAACTGGCGGGGCGCGCGCTCTGTGCGGTATCGGGTCGCCAGCTGCCTGGTGGGAGGGCGGGCCGAAATAGGCCCACTGCCGCACTCGCGGATGTTTTTTCACCGTCAGTGCGTGGTAGGTCAATAAAAGCCTGCCGTTATGTTTTGATGGGGAACAACTACGGCATTTACCGCAAGATGAAATATATATTTGTCTCTGTCGAATTTTTACAAACACCTGAGATAATCGTTTCGCACAAGCGAGAGGGACATAGTTTTCTTCGTCCGCACCAGTTCAAGTACCGCGACAGGCCGATATCGGCCTGTTACGCAGTAAACGTGTTAATGAGAGACGTTCCAATGTCATTGTTAGCCCGGCTACCTTCAGTTTTTGAATAATTTTTGGTCCGATTTACGCAAAACGAGCTTACTGTACCTAGAAGTCTTGCAGTGGTATGCTTGGGTTTGGGTTTAATTTTGTTAATTATAGGATCCCAAGCAGATGGCAGCACCCAACCATCTTCTCTATTGAAATTAGGATGTTTTTGTTCAATTTCAATAGCCTCGCGTATCATCTTTGGTAGGAATCGGTGTTCTTTTGCGTGGATTTTTTGATTTATCATATCTGATGTAATGGTGGGGACGATCTTGAACATGTTCACAGACTGCAGACTTCCCGGAGCGTCGGTGCTTCACGTCAGCTATATGTTCTTTCACGTCGGTTTTTATGGATCTTATTGTTTCATCTATGTAAGAGAGACCACCTTCACAATCTAACTTACACTCCTACGTACCTAACGTACACTCCTGCATCTTGTAAAGGGATATTACACTTGACGGATGGTAAAAATTGACTAATCTTCTTCGGTGGCTTGTAGTTTGTTTTAATGGAAGCTCGCTTCACGATGTTACCAACCTTGTCTGTGACTCCTCTGACATATGGTAGTACGAGTACAGCAGGCACACGCTCCACGCTCTACTGTGGCCGGCTTCACTCGTTCACTGTGACGTAGGCGCGGGACCCGTAGTTTGTTGTCTTGCAATACCTGCTTGACATGCTGAAGCTCGACGGCCAGATGTTTTCTGTCACAGATCCCTCGTGCTCTCTGAAACAAAGATTTACCCACGGTAGCTAATTGTGAAGGATGATAGTGAGATTCACCATTTAAATATCGAAACGTCGGGATAATAAAAATAAATTAAATTTGAATTAAAATTCGTAAATAATGGTTTTATTCAATGTGTAGTGTTCGGGTAAATTTAAGAAATCATTAGTATTTAGGTAAATTATTAAAAATATAATATCTAAGTTTTGAAATACGTCATTTATCGATGAATATACTGAAGAACTCATTCCATTAGTCGTAAAGTTGCAAATTGTTTTCCGTTAGGCTTCATTTATAAGGTATAATAAATTTTCACAACCGAAGCGTAGGCCGGAAATGATTTAGTCAAGGCGCAAAATCTCCTACTTTATATGTGTCTCAAGGAAAACATTCCGTAGTAGCGTGTCGGAACTTCTACACTTTAAAGATCTCGTTCAATAGAACAACGATACTAAATCGCTCATTTCTTTTAGAAAAGTATGTCTACACATATACCAATTGATATACACAAAACCATTTTCGTGCAATTTTTTGTAGAAGAGGGGAAGGGGAGTGACTCACTGATGGTGATGGTAAGTATTGACCGCCACCCGTGGACAACTGTAACAGCATAGGAGTTGCCGGCCTTTTGAATAAGAGTAAGCGTGTTCCTTGAAGGTCGGTAAGTCGCATCGTTCCGGAAAACTTTCGGTGCAAAACAATTCCACAAAGAAGTCGTGCGAAGAAGAAAACAACTATGAAACTTTTGTTAAGATTTTAAAGTACGATTTCTACCTAGATGTCTGTTTGGCTTATTACCAGCCTCTTGCTTCGAGGATGGTGGTTGCGCGGAAAACCATTCGTATTTATTTTATTTGACGGTAGGCTGCCAAATCGGTTATCCCTTTCCAAAACGATATCATTCGTACCCTCCTATCGACACATCGGGGTGGTGGGGTGGGAGGGGAAAGAAGATGATTCTAGAACATCACGTAATCATCGGAGCCGAGGATATATAAGACACGCGCGACCAACGCGTGGCCTCTTCCCGCCGCGCTCGCCGTTGAAACCACACACCGCCTAGGATAATAGTGTCCTAAACAGCTCTCTTCCCGCCGCGCTCGTCGTTGAAACTACACCGATTCTCTCCCGACGTATCTCTGGGGCCCCCAGAGTGTCTGTCCAGAGGAGGTTCCAGAAGTCGCAGTTATAGTGCTCGACCGCACAGAAGAAACATCCCGGTGAGTCAACATTTTCCTAATAGTATTTTTCTGCTTGATATAGTTGTTTTAACCCGCTCCAATTTTGTGTTTTCCCAATCAAGCAGGATTCCTTTCATCGATTTGGCAAATAATAGTTCGTTTTTTAGGGAAGAGCGAGTGCATTGTACCGCATATATAAGAATAGAATCAATTAGTAGATACAGTCCACTTAGATTAATATCTCGCGCAATAGGTTTAAGGTTCGACCGGGGAATTAGACTTCGGCAGCCTTAAACACGTGGCTCCACCATTTTATGGTCCTTCGAGCCGGATTTGGATTGGTGTTTAGTGGTTATCCAACCATTTTCTGGTCGAATAATTAGTGTTCGTAAATAGTGTAAATAGTGTTCGTTTAAATTTTGATTAGGTACTCGCAAACAGATTTGTTTATTTTATAGCGCTCGTATTTGGTTAAATGTAAAGCTTATTAAATAACTGAAACAGTGTGATAGCAACCGTTAGGTACGCTTACCTGACAATCTTTATAAAAACATTAAGTTAGCAAGCAACGCGTCGCCCCGACTGTAACAGGTGTTCGATTTAATTACGTAATACGGCATATCGAGTGTCCATCGTCCATTGTTTATGCGTGTGAGATTAATTGTGATTAATAACTTTGTTATAATAATTTAAAATGGCAGTTAGTGGAAGTGAATTTAAAATTAAAACGCTTTATGCCAAGAGGGACGTACTTTTTTCACGTATACAAAACATTAGCGATCATATAAAGAACATTAATATAGAATCGGTGCGGGAAACTTTTCTGAATGAAATTGAAACGGTGGATTCTTTGCGGACGGATTACGAAAGAATATTAGACCAAATTAATCATTTGGAATTAGAAATCGACCCGAAATACATAGTGAACTACCAACCGCTGCTGGCATTCGAAGATATGTTGTGTCGCGTGAAAAGAACGGCAAAACTCCTACAATCTCAAAGCGAAGCAAAGCCGGAATTGCAGGTACGTCCTCGTGACTCAATTAGGTTGCCGCCAATAGATATTCCGGTATTCAATGGTGATATTAAGACGTGGCCCTTCTTCTTCAGTAGTTTTCAAAACAATATACACAATAACCCATCGTTATCGGACGCTGAAAAATTATATTACTTAATTAGTAAACTTAGTGGCAGGGCACAGTCGATCTGCTCTGGTTTTACACCTACAGCAAACAATTACTTATTAATATTCGAAACTCTTAAAACTAAATATGAAGATAGGAGAATGTTAGCTTCCGAATATTTGAACCAGATATTCGATCTTAAACCTATATCATCCGCGAACATCAACGGCTTAGAGCAGTTTCTAGATAAATTTGTGGCATCGGTGGCTGCACTTAAGAATTTAAAATTTAATGACCTTATGGACGTGGTGTTTCTCCATATTGCACTAAAGAAATTAGACCCCGACACCGTGCGTGCATTTGAAATGGAGCATCGTAGCTCGGAGATGCCTTCCTTTCATTCATTAGCATCGTTCGTGCGAGATCAAATAAAGGTGATGCAGCGCTCTCCCAACGTTAAACAGGAGATTAAAAGGTGCGTCGACCGTAGACAGACTCCACCATCTAAAATAGCAGGGTCGTTATCTTACATAACCGCTACGTCAACATCACTTCAGCATACTTGTATCGTATGTAAAGATAAACACGGTAATTTATATAATTGTGCGACTTTTCGTAAATATTCACCAAGCGAACGTTATAAATTAGTAAAGACAAACAACCTATGTTTCAACTGCTTAAGCGATAAGCATTTAGTTGCAAAATGCAATTCAAGTTCCGTATGTAGCAAGTGCGCCAGAAAACATCACACGCTATTACATTTTGAAAATAGCAACATAGCGGCGTCAAGTAAAGCGGATAAGGAATTCACCCCTACTAAGGTCAACGATTCTAGCGGTCGACCTGGTGATGTCGCTCTGTGCTCATTGGCAAATATGGGAGCACAACCTCCTTCAACCGTGTTACTGGGTACGGCGCGTATTTTGGTTAGGGATTCGCGTGGGAACGAACAAAGCGTCCGTGCACTGCTGGACAGCGGAGCCCAAAATAGCTTTATAATACGACAATGTTGTCAGCGCTTAGGCTTAGTAATAAATAGGTCACTTTCATGTCCTGTAGTTAAAGGCATCGGAGGTACTAGTAAAGCTACCCAGGGATATATTAATTTAAAATTTTATTCTCGGATAGATCGTAATGTTAACTTTGATATAAATGCACTAGTAGTAGAGAGGGTCACTGAACGGTTGCCAACCGTTTCGGTTGACACCTCGGCAATGATTGAGTTTAAAAATTTGACTCTAGCGGACGACACTTACGCCGTTCCTGGAAACATAGACATGCTCATTGGAGCATCGCTTTTCCCTCATCTTTTGTTAAACAATAAGGTCAGGGGCAACTCCTCGCATACCGCGCCTTACGCACTAGAAACCGTATTGAGCTATGTTATCATTGGCTCCGCCCCCATCATAGATAGTATTTCGGCAACCTCTTATTGTGGTATGGCTGTCGAACCGCTCGAGTCGTTAGTCCGCAAATTTTGGGAGATGGAGGAGGTGAACGTCCCACCCATAGCTAGCTCAGATGACAGGTTATGCGAGGAAATTTACGTCCGCACGACCGTT